ACAATCCGAGGGTTTCTAACCATTTATTACAATGTTTGCTACTTCGACCCATTTTTACTATATCCTCAGTGTTCTTCGCTCTTGATTGTTAATGATCATTATTGACCGTGTTCTACCGTAATAAGCTGGTCATTACTGCTCGTGTTCTACCGTACTTACATAAGATGCTCAAAATTTTCTGATGATACCGACCATGAAACAACGATCCTGTCGTGGCAATATCAGATTTGATCTCGCAGTTTGAATGCGAAACGAAAGCACAGTCGGTTCCACTAAGTGGTAGCTATATGGCTACTTAAAATCAGTTTTTTTAAGAGAAAGGCTGACGTATTCCTATACTGGACCCAGAAAAGGACAGGGCAGGGACTCGCTATATTTAGGGCATGTCTTCGAATGCAATGCTCAGTTTTCTCGATCAGTTGGAGACGATTTTTGTCATAAGAGCGGAGCACATTGGAACAATTATTGACAGTAAATGCCGAAGATTAAACGAAAACTAAGTGAGAGCAATTTGCAGCAAACCCAGAGGTGAAAAATATTTCTGTACATCCTGTAGTGGGTGCTTAGAAGTACTCAATCTGATTTTGATGGATGAGCACGAGATAAGGGAATGGTCTAAAGACTCCTTGAAGGAGCATAAATCCAAACTTCTCAAAACAGGAGACTAAGTAGGGCTTCTGAAGACTGCTCCCGATCTCAGCACTGGTCAAGGTAGTATCGAGACCGGAAGTAAAATCATATCTTTGTTCATGTTTGAGGCAATCAACATTGCTAATTTCGAAGATTTCAGATCAATATGGTTTTTGGACAATATACGAGCCAAACCGTCGTCTAGAACGAAAATCCGGGAAGGCGGCTTGTATACAAAACATAATCGGAGTTGAAATGGGGACGTTCCCATGAATAGGTGTATGGATAGCTATCATTTGACTATTTGTATGTTTTTATCATCACTGCTCAGTCATCAATGTTGTCCAGTAAAATTATGTGAAAAGAGACCTCCATGGAGGTTCCTCGCCAAAACAAATAAGGTTTTTTTTTTTAGAAACCCTCTGAAAATTTCATTGATGACCTAAAACAGGGGGAATATTTTGAAAAAAACATTAATAAAGGGGTCTTGTCGAATAGAATTACTTGACTGTTGATAGATTTGGGGTCAGGGAAGCATTTTCAACAATTTGTTCAAAGATGAGAGGTTGTGCTCGCGAAAGTGAGAGATAGTCAAGTTGAATTTTACGATCTTCAAGTATGTTCGTTCTCAAAATATTTGCAATGGTGAAGTTGAAGTAAGATTCCAAAATACCCGTGACGCCGAAAATTGATGAATACCCGTGATGAATACTACTGTAAGGGAGGCTTGCCACGGATAAACAAAATAGTTCATAGACATGTCAGTAGAACAACGTCTAATATTGCAGTAGCTAGTTTCTTTCCCTCCTACTCTGTAGGGCATAAATCAGTCAGAGAAAACTCACATGGTATTTTCTCGACAGCCTCTGAATGTTATTGCCCCATATGCTGTGGGAATTGCTCTGAGTGGTATTGAAGGTAGTATTTAAAGGACGAGTGGTCTCAGGAAGCAGCGCTTTCCTGCCATGACCGCTCGTGCTCCACCACCATCCTATCACAGCACACTTATGATTCACTCCGTGAAAATGTCTTCCTAAATGTAGATGCAATTACTTATAGAACTCTATAGAATGTTGCATTCTCCAAGACTGATTCACAGTCAGATAAGCCTTGCCCTTTGCTTTTATAGGAGAAGGTGTCTGCGACGACTCCGGGGTACGGGAATCTTTGAGGTACGCTACACTTGAGCGCCTTTCACACCACGCTGGAGAAATCACATCAACGTTTTGCTCTAAGCTTTTATAATTTTGTATTACGGCTGGGACAATTAAGTGGTCACATTCAAGTTCAATGTTATCCACATTATCGGGAAATTCCAAACTCAGTTCTTTTCTTTTTTTTGCGCAAGCTCAGCAGTTGAACGCACCAATTTCACTTTTCTATTGTGCAACCAAGATTTGGCCAAATACCTCACATCCCTATCTTTTCGGCTACTGGATGCTCGACGTGCCCAACAGGAGCTGATAGGAAGGTGGAGGAAAAAACTAAGAATAATTTCCTCTGTCTTGAAAAGTAAATAAAAGTAGAATAAAAGAAAATACTGACCTACAAGTCATCATAACTATTGCAATGGAGTCTGGTTACTTGACGGTTCGTCGCCGCCTCATGAACTAAAGTCTGCAGGGCTTACTTGCGGAAAATCCTAAGTCCCCAAGAGAATCAAAGCGCCTCCTCTCAGCTTAATTTCGTTACAAATGGATCGCAGTAATGAACGTTGTGAACAACTTTTTTCCAGTCAAGCCCATCTACATATGTTATAAGCACAACTGTATTCATGAACCTAATTGTGCTGTCTGTGCGAAACAATCAACAAATTACAGATACAAATGTTCTTCGCAATAACTTCAGTGCTAGGGCACATTCTCGCCTTATTTGCTGTTGTTCCGACGGTTTGGACGAGAGTTAGTATCATACTGTTTTTATTATAGCGCACTGAATATTCGCAGTAGAGTTCAGAGGCTCTACTAGAGCAATCTTTTGTCTTTTTCGAACGAGATTTCAGTAGCTGCACGGCAAAATGAGTTAGCTGTCAGCTGTTTGCATCAGCTGACTGTATTTACAACAAACATGTCCCATTCAAATGGAATCAGTCTCTGCAGAGCCACTGGAAACGTTTCTGCTAGCTCACGTTAGGCCACCGGGGCGGTTTTGAGCTTTTATCGCACCCAACATATGTATATGTACGTCTCTCTTCGAACAGACAATGCCGCCCATCGAGTAATTAACTGTTCGAGTCATAGGCTGATGCTCTTTTGAGAAATTTTCCCAGAAAAGTTCCAAACTAGCTAGATTGAATGATGCTGTGACAAGTTACAAGGGAATGGGGGATTAAGGAAGCATCATCACTGGCGAATTGATCTTTTCCTAATTTCTAAACATCAGAGCATGAAAAGAAAGGTTTCGAAGGCTTGTACGGGGAGAAAATAATTCTCAAAACCATAGTGAAAAAACATTCATTATAGAATCTCATTGAAATACTTCAGGCAAAACCGGAGGTCATCTCCAATAATCCCGAGAAAGGAGACATAGTACAACTTTGGAATCTCCAAAAGAATTACACGTATGTTCCCATAGTTCTGAAGCCAACTTGTCACCTTTCCCATCAACATCTATCAGTGTTCCTCCTATTTTAGGAGGGCTTACAATGCCCTGTTCAAGTCGTCAATTAGAAAATGGTATATCACTAACAAAGATGGAAACGTCCTCATACCAGCCATTGTTACTGGGCCATTCAGTGAGCATTTGCAGGAATCAGTAGGAGTGTTGTAGATTCGTACAGAACAGGCACTTCTACACGGTCTCGTCAAACCTTGGGCATGATTTTTCTGTAAAACAATGTTTTTAAGTAGCATATTCGATTCTGACGAACCTCGGCATAATTCCAATATAACTTTATTTTATTCAAACAGAATACGAGGTTAAATATTACATTTCGTCGGCTAACGTTGTGGCGATTATCGCCTTTTCCGGGGCCTACACAGCTGGGAACCAGTCTATGATTTATGGAACCCAATTACATCAGGTAATCGTGTAATTACTAGTTAAATAAAAACCATATCATCCAATTTAGCAGAGACAGCCCACCGGAACGGCAGTATTAGGGTATTTTAGGCAGATCAAAGTTCACGGTTTCCTACATAAGAGATCAGTTGCCGCGTTATTGACACACATTCTCCCCTCTGGTTCCTTTTTGTATGCCTTACCCGACTCCAGAACGCCTCCAGGGCCTTGCGCACGGCTGTCTGGGTTTCGCGCGCCACGACCTCGTCGATTACCTCAAAATCGTCTCCGCTATGAAATCCAAGCCTGTGGCAACCTGAAGCAGTAGACGGCCGTGATTTTGCCATCCCCTCCATATGCTCCCTAACACGTACGTGAAGCGGTCCAGCCCTCTCCCCTATATATTCAACTTCACAATTTTGACAAATGATCCTGTGGACCACACCTTTTACGGCACGGTCTCCGTCTGTGCCACTGGGACAGGCCACACAGTTCTCGGTCGCGCATGTGCAGTAATAGAGACGAGGCGATGTTTTAGGTTGTAGGGAGGAATATCCACAAGGCCAACAGTGTTCTCCAGACCCGGTCTCTTTAGGCACCTCCTTATGGAAGCGCTCAGAGATAAAAGGTATCATGAAGGGGTTTCCTCGTTCAGAACGCCTCTACTATGTCTACTGGAGCCATCATCTTCCGTGGACCGATGAAAATGCGGAGGTAGTTTGTAGCCGCTGAGCTCAGCGATCTTCTGTGCTATTTCCACTGACCCTCCACCGAAATGTTAGCCGACGGAATTGTAATGTTCAAACTCGTGTTCTGTTTGTGAAAAAAAGTTTTGATGTCTTTAAGGTTATTCCGATAGAGTGGCGATTCAAAACGCGCTCTGGCGAATCACGAACAACACTTGTATTCGGTTCATTCAACGTACTGATCAAAAGGACTATGTAGATTTTATTAACGAACGAGGCAAAGGGTGAGTGCCTGTGTGCCTAAAGAGCCAGGAAGGAATTTCAAAAGCAAATCTCCAAAGTAGAGCAAACTCAAAAAAGTATATTCTGAAAAAGCAATTTTAGTTGCTACTCGAGCATCGGACGCATGAAGGGCCGTGCCCCTTTGCATCTCGAATCCAGCAGTAGGGGCACGTAAGTGCATCCTCTAAGATCAAGCCTTCGAAGCCTTCTCGTAAGTAGGCTTTTTCCAGGAGTAGGTTTCCTAATCGTGACGGTCTTTCAGATGCATGAAACCGAGAACTCTGTTACACGAGCTGCTGCACCTTTGTGGCCTGTGGCATGAGCATATGAGATACGATCGTGATAACTACGTTGAGATTCTTTATGAAAATATTCCGCAAGGTTAGTCTGTTCTTTGAAAAGAAAAACGAGGAAAATACCTAAAATGGAAAGTGGAACGAGAAGTGGTACGTATGGACAACGAGCAATGATTCGTTTGGCATGTTCTAAGGATCTGCGGTTCCTCTATTAAAGTGTAGAAGAAATTATAAATCAAAATCTCATTCGAAGGGGTAGGTTTCTTGAAGAAGAATTTAGGAGTTTTGTAGAAATCGTTTGACTGCACTTTTGAGCCTTCTTGTTAAATCTTTTGTTGAAACTAATCTTGCAACTTTTGGTCATACTAGCGAACTATCTGAGCTCAATCAATGATGTATAGGTGAAAACGAATTTGGTTCCTTCAAAGCGAGAAATATTATTGGCCATGGTAACACTGGCCATTCCGATATTAATAGTATTAAGGAGTTGGGATTACGTACATGAGAGCAAATTGGTTTCTTTTCGGTTCGTTTCAAAAGAACAGCCTTCATTGGCATCGTTCACTTTAGAAAATGTTCAGAAGTCCACTATGATTTCGCTAAACTCAGTCCGTCTCAAGCAACTACTTACGACCTACCGTATGATTACAAATCTGTGATGCACTACAGGAAGGATGAATTCGCATTGCCGTCTAAGATCAGCATACGAACTAAAGATCCAAACTACCAGGTGCCTTACCTTATTTTAGGCATTTTGCCTAGAAATTTTCATGCACTAGTATGGCTAGGCTAGTTCCTCAACAAGTTGACTTGCGCTTTCTAAACATCTCTGAACGATGACGCATCAAGGAGTTTGCAGATGAGAACTTTCTCTTGGCTATTTGAACGAATCCGGTCCAAGGGAACAAACTACCGTTTACCAGTCAAAGATTTTGCACTGTGTTGAAGGTTTTGCATCCCAAATCTGTAAACAAATGAAATGTAGAATGGCCGAATGCTAGAGACATCTCAAAACAAGACCATAACTTTGGCCGGCCGAGATAAAATGGGCGTGTGCTCTAGGTAGTAGAGGCACTGCGCAGGATCTATCGAACTACCTTAGACTCGTAATTTTACACTTCGAGAGCATACTCCACAGAGAATGAGATCCTTGGCCATGATAAATTCCAAAAGAAGTCTCCCACCAACAACCAAATTTGCAACTATTTGGCGCTTATTTTGCACATTCACTGAGTACCAGCATTAGCAACGAGAGCAACGAGTACATTATGAGCGTATAATTTGACAATGTGTTGATCTAGGAGCCACTGAGACTATTTTGTTCTAGGATATTATTGGAAATGTTGAAGACGCTTCACCGAACGACTATCTCAAAGTTTGCAAGATCTACGGCTGCAAAAAATGCAATGGCAATTCATGAATTTCACGGAGATTTGTTTCAGAAGCAAATCATATGCGGAGCTGCAATAAAAATGTAGTAGTTCCATTACAAGCTCTTGTTGACACATTCAAAAACAACAAAAAACATACATGAAATCCTTTTTCGCGAGTCATCCAAAATTTCGATGCTTCCAGAATCAGATAAAATGCAGTGCTGTAGCTCATAAAGTGGTGCAGGCTGATTAATTGCTGTGCTCGGACGACTTTTTCGTCTTCTCGCTAGCCCATATCTGACATTGTTCCTTACTATCATGTGTCATTCTCAGTCCTCCATTTCAACAGCACACAGGAAGCCTTTTGTATTTCTTCACCATTTCAAGAGGCTATCTGATTTCGTCCCGACGCAAAGCCTGCTAACTTCCCTGAAATGATATTCGACACCTGACCATGACACCACTCCTGTCGCTGCTGCATCGCTTTCAACAAGCCGTATCTCTCTTTGAAAACTCAGAAACTTGGGACACTTCCTGTTCAGTAGTACTCGTTGCTCTGCCAGGCCGTAATGCCGTTTTTACATCCTCATGTTGATCCTATCTGTCACTAACGGTGAACCATCTGAATACAGTGTATTCATGAGTAGATGGGCGTAGAGCCGATGTTGGATGCATTCAATTTGTGAATGCATTAGATAAGTGCTTTTAGTAGTGAAAGTTTGTTAAGGATAGGACGGTTCCTTGCCTGCATAAGGCGAGCAACACGAATCCATGATAACACACTGCCGCCTGCACTCCTACCAAATTTTAACCGGGTCCAGGTAAACAAGAGTTATGAACTTGTCGTCAAAATTTCTATCGCGCACGCCGCGCCCCCTGTGGGCGGACTCTGGCCCTGCTACTGTCATGAGTGTCCCCATGCTGCCGCTTAAGCTCCTACCAGATTTCAATTCTTCAGCTCCAGGGGAAGAAGAGCTATGAATTTCCGGTGAAACACCCACACACCGACACACGCGCACACAAACACACCGACAAACCAACAGACACACATAGCGAATTATTTATAGTAGGATAGTAGGATAACATACCAGCACTTACCCGTACAACGTGTTGAACCGGTCAGCCGATATCAGCATTGAACGGTTAAGCTGAAAGCTTTACATGATATACCTTGTTTTGGCTTGATGTTTTGTTAACTGCTGCTATATCGCCGCAGTACGCGATGCGAAAGTCTCGCAAGGATGGCGATTTACGGACAATTTAGTCTCGGACGGGACTCGAACTCGTATTTGTCCTTTCCGGGTTCCGGGCTTATATCCCTTACACGACCGAGATCCCACTTGCCCTCGCCTTCTTAATGGCTTATATGCCATAGCTTATCAGCACTTACACGTACAACGTGTTGCGAATATCAGCTCTGAACCGTTACACTGGGAGCTTTACTTGTTATAACTTGTTTTGACTTGATGTTTTTGTCAACTGCTAGTTTATGGCCGTAGTATAGGATCTGAAAGTCTCACAAGGATGGCGACTTGTGGGCAACACTTCGGCCTCGGAAGGGACTTGAACCCGTATTTTGGCTTCCAGGGCATATTTTACTATGAAGCTGCCAGTTTGAGTCAATCACTCCTTGAGGAATGCCAACTGCGGTGTTTCCTTGAACAGTTGGACCAAATTAGATTTCGTGTGATTTTACGGCTTCCTAATCAAACTAACAATTAGCATTAGGAATGTATAAGTAGCCTTGGCCAAAAATCAATCTAATTGTAAGCTCATGTTTTTGTGGTCCTTTCCACGCATACGCAGAAGTGGTAAGACGTATTCAATAGGTGAGTAATATTGCCCCCATACTCGAATAATAGCTGTGCCCACCGTTACAACCCGTAAAAATCAAACCTATATGGAGTTACTAGAGCCTCTCCTCAGCAGTAAGAAGTGAATTGACATTTAGGGCCATCCCCACTGATACTCGTAACGGACTCCAGATTTCAGCTTCCACTATGCACCGACCCCTGCGCACACTGATGAGCATATTCGGTGCAGCTGTGCAGGGTAAGACCAAGTAGCCTGGGAGCGCGACCGAGTATGGCACCACAACCTTGCGCACGATTATGAACCATAGCCTGAAATCTACTTGACAAGTTCCTGATGATCGGAAATTACTCCGAAAAATTAAAGGCTGTTGCGTTGTGAATAGTGGATAGTCCGCGTAAATTGAATACTGCAAACTGCGTAGTAACCGAACAGAGTTTCTAATCATGGTACGGCTTTAACTAGAACTCCCGAGCTAGTTTTTTTTACCCTGGACGAGTGCACTAAACATTCTCAGTGGACTGCCAAAAGGCATTGGAAAGGTCATCCTCACCTTAGTTATGAGCCTCTTTGATGAGTTTTCCCACTGAAGAGGTCAACTTCAACCGATACAACTGCACCACAGCCGTCCCGAAGCTCTGCTTACATCCATTTCTATTTCCCAGGAATTATTTCCGCGTTGATATTCCAGCTGGTAGGTTCAGCAGTGAGGTTGTATCATAACTTTTTATTCACCTTTTTCAGTGAAAGAACAATTGCAATTTAGAGTGTTATACCCTTTAAATGAGATCGAAAAGATATGTACTTGAGAAAGGCACAGAAAAGATCACATGTGTTATATTTTCTATGTCCTATTCTTATATGTAGAAAATCACTTGGCATACATTCGTCTATGATGAAAAGGTTGAAAGCGAATGGAAAACAGATAACGAGAAACAGATCAAATTCCAGAGTAGATTCTTCACGAATTAAAATTTCAAAATAAGCTACAATAAAGTGCAGGCTCGACTCTTGGTCTCTGCGAAAATCAGCGGAGCTTTTGGTACATACGCCGGGGGTGGCTCACTTTTTCTCAANATTCGTCTATGATGAAAAGTCCAGAGTAGATTCTTCACGAATTAAAATTTAAAAATAAGCTACAATAAAGTGCAGGCTCGACTCTTTGTCTCTGCAAAAATCAGCGGAGCTTTTGGTACATACGCCGGGGGTGGCTCACTTTTTCTCAATTCGGCCTGTCGTTTCTGCAGCTCAGCGAGTTTTTCCTGAAACCGTAGATTTGCCATCTCTAACAACAATTTCGACATCTAGTATTGCAGAGGTACTCCCTCAAAGCTTCTTCTCACGAACAAATGACTATAAATGGTCTTGAAATCACAGAAGGCAGGCACTGGTTACCTTCTTGATGTTTTGCTAGTAAAGATCCAGTTTTGGGTGACTTGACAGTGGCTTTAAGGGCCGTTAGCAGGCGCAATTATGTAATAAGGATATATTATAATTTCAAGAAGTGTTCGATCAGCGAGGACCGTCAGCTTCTGGAAAGCCTTACCATTAGAAACGGCAGTTTGAAAGTTATTTTTATAACACAGGGAACTGTCAGAAGTTTGAAAAGTACCTTCCGAAAACCTCCTATGGTCTAGTTCCTTTTTGGACTGCTCTAGATTTCACAGAAATTCTATACAGCGACATAACCCACTACTATGGGCACAGCATGGCCGATTCCCTCATTCTTGCTCATTTTACACTGTAATTGCCAAACGGTTACACCCTGGTACCCTTTTCCTGGCACGAATTCGGGGTCGAAAATGAGGCTCGCTCAGATTGGCCCTCTGCAGTGTCGTCTGACAAGAAGAGATTGATGTATACAAAGAGTGGTGCCTAGTACTGAATTTCTACGAAAACTTTCTCGGCAGATACTTTCCGAACGCTTCAAGGGGGATTCGTTTTTCTGAGATGCCCTGAGTATGACAAAAGCTGGATGGAGGCTATCTTAGTCACTTCAAATCGTCTCTTCACTGTCTATTGATATAGTTTATAAATAACACATTTTTGCAAAAAAATTGCTTATGTTATTCACGATAAGCAAATTTAACCCTTGGTGATGAAACCTTCTGGTCAGTGGTAAATCATGCTCCGACGAGCAGGGTGGATTAAGCTCCGACGAGCAGACATCTCGTTCTTTGAAAAAAGTTTTTACGCCTAGGGCTTACATGGGAGGGGATGTTGAATAATCTGGATTTGGAGTATTCCGCTCGAATTGTCGAGAAAATTCCCACGCAATTTTTCAGAAAGCCTACTGAACTTGAAAACCAAGCTGACCTGCAACTTGGACATTTGAGCTTGATGGCCTTCGAAAGTATTGGACTGCTCCTTGATTTGCTGCTTCAGTGCTTCGATTTCTCGCATCAATGCCGAATCAGAAGATGCTTTCCTGAATGATGTTTGTTTTTTTTTTCATGTATAACAAGCACTATACCTTATCCTCTCCAATCACTCGGATTTCCCATTCGAACTATCCACCTTCACACCAACGACATGTCGTTCTTGTCTTATGGAAGTTTTCCGACCGCAAGGTGGTGTTATGGAAGAATTCTTGGTACTCGTCCCTTATTTTTTCGAGGTCACACAGCAACCTTCTAGCCCCTCACTAGCTCCTCTGCGAATTATCTGCGCAATCGCACTTCTAATAGAAAAATGAGTCTCTGAGTGCCACTTTTTAACGCAGCCGAAACTCGTAAACTACTCAATATGTTGAGAAGCGCTTCCCTTTCAACTTCTTCATCGGCCATGATGGACATAGATTGGGTAGGTTTCACCGACTTTCAGTTTCACCCGCTCGAAAATCAAATCAGACCCACATCGTCTGTTACCCGCTTCTAACACATCAAAACAGATCCTCTGAAATAAATACTATTTAAATGCTAGACTCACAAAAGAGCTGAATCCGGTGAGGTATCACAAGGCTGTGATGGCGATCCTTTTGTCTGAAAAGATGAGCTTTACTGTATCTAAAGTCTTAGGGAATCTTTGATAAGGTTAATGTGAGGTTCACTTCTTTGGTGAGGAATAGAGCAAGCCGAGGTCATGTCATGCCCAAAGCCAGAAACAGTAGATAAATGTATTGAAAAAGGGCAACATACAGGATGGGGCGATCAAGCCGCACGATTCTAGTTATAAAAAAGCACACACACAGATAAACAATTTTAAAGTCATAATTGCGTATTGCAGTCATAGTCATTAAGAACTATGACTGCAATACAATGCACTGCAATACATTTTTTGAAGTGGGGCAGTCAAATGTCGTTCTTCAGAATGGGAGCGATACTTAAAGGCACAGTTCACGATAATTTTGAGGTACCCATTTTTATTCGAAAAGCAGAAGTATAGATTGGGAATAGTTCATCGTAGCGAAAGAAGCGAGAGAATTCGCCGCTTTTGAGAAAAATATGGCTCCTCAAAAGTAGAGAAAATAGGAGTTGGACGAGATTGCCATGGCGGAAATAACATGGAATACGTATTCGTACGAGATTTCAGTTGTTGAAATTGCACAAAGAGCTGACTACATCGAGCCAGAACTGTACAGAACTATCTTTCACTGTCGCTATGGGTCATGACAAGTTGTTTGAACTTCCAACATGAGTTCCGTTGTGTTCGGTGCAGCGTCTCCAATCCGTTGAAGCTCGTCCGAGGATACACACGATACAATCTTTGAGCCTTTACAGCGCTCTAACTAGGCCGTTTTCCGTTCTTATAGCGCCAGGGGGGGGGNGGGGGGGGGCCTCGAACTCATCTTATAGGGAAATCTCAGAAATCATTTTTACCATGAATTAAGCCTTCGATTATCGTTTTAGATCTCCACGAATCCCACAACTCAAACTCCCTTACATTTCTGATTCTTCTAATGTCTTTCATGTAGTAACTGACGCTGATAATTACTGATAAAAACCATCGCAATCACAAGTTTTGATGTAGAAATTACATTCTGAAAGCGAGTTCAAAGCGAAACATTAAACATTTATCGAATTTCATTTATTTGTAGAAGAAGTATTGAACTTTAATAGCAATCAATTTGAAGGCATTACGTCTTGTATATCCTCAAGGGAAAATAACTTGGATGAATTCATACCTCTCTTTTACTAGGAGAACTGTGACAAGTGGAGACGCCTTACCTGATTCTTCCTTATTGGAATAACTTCTGCTTGCTCAAGCTCATTCCTTAGCCATGTATGAACTTTGTCGTCTTTGTCCTCTCGTATAACGGGTGCGGAGGCGCCTCGAAGAAAAACTTTGCGAGACGTTGACGCTGCCAAGCTGAACGGAGTATAAATCAGTTGTTGCTGCCGGAGGTGCTCACCCCAACAACTATTTCTGCTTACGCTTCATACGTGTCCACTAGCACATATGTATTACCGCCACAGACATGGATACTCGATAGACGGATCTCCTTCTCAGAGTCACCGCTGTCCAACCTCAAATTTCTTTTTTACTACTTTGTTTAATGATTTAAAAATCCCTATAATTACCTCAGAATAAGTGAAGGCAATGTTACAACATCATCTAGGGTAGGATCAACATCCTTCAGTCTCCTCTTTGCACCCCATCGAGAAAACGTTGATCTCATGGATTCGTCACTAAAAATGGGCATCGATTTGCAACCTGCCAAGAGAATATTGAAGCGCTGCTTGAGTTGCTTCCTTATGTCTTACCATTTAGGTTCTTCACTTCGTTTTTCGTCCACCATTTTATGAGGACATTTCAAACCCCAGAAGTAGAGTTCATGGTCCGTGGTTCCCACCAATGAGTATCCGTCACCGCAAGCCAGTTTCTGAAAATGTTAGCATGTACAATGAAGACGTAATCATTTCATGGTTTCGATTTATCTTATTCGTCATCTTCCGTTGCTTTGAACATCTTTTTTGAAAGTGAAATAGGGGTGCCCGGGATGTCTAATTACCGACACCCTACCGAGCCTACTAACAGATCTCACTTTCGAATAGCGTTTCTGGCTATAATAGCTGGTGAAAAGGCGAAAAAAAAACTTGCTTGTGATGGATAAAAAATATTTTAAAAAATTTGGAACAAAAAGAATTCATAAAAATCGGAAATAAAATAGAAAGAAATGTGCATGTCCTGGAGAGCAACAAAGCTCCTCAGCAGAGATGTCTTTCGGTTTATTTAAAGAGTGCCATTTATTTTTAGGGAAATGGAATGCTGATCTTTTCTCTGCTAATGCCAATCATCGCTGCATTCCGTGATGCCAACACTAGGGGTCTGGGAACTTCTCCCTGAACACGGCGTCGCACACGCCGCACCCGCCGCGTATCGCAGGTTTGCGATGGAAGGTTGGAGCACGCAATTGGTGAGGTAGGAAGTCCTTTAATTATTTGAATTGGCTGGCCGCTCTTTTCAATTCCAATGCGGTCTTAATCGTCGTTTATATAGGAGGAGTCATTTTAATTAATCAAGTCTAATAAACATGAAAACGAAAAAGAAACAGAAGAAAAAACGATCAAATCCAAAAAAAAAACAAGGCAGTCAACGAAAAATATCGCGTCTTATCGATTAGCGGTGAGGCGGGGTGAATACGGTAATTGCAGTGGCAGTTGCCGCATGCCGCAAAGGAGAATGCCGCAATCGGGGAGAAGTTCCGTTACCCCAACACTAGCATGAAAGTGCTGAGATGTGTGCAGAAACTCCGCCCTTGAAGTGAACTCGAACACGAGAATTGCTTTGTAAGCATTTTTATCCTCGTACCTTACAACACAGAACCTCCACCAGCTTCCTGATGGTATATTTATCATAGCTCATTGGCAATCACGACGAAGATGAAGCCGAGTGGCGCTCCATCACTCACTTCGTCCTAGGGATAAATCTCGCAATGGTACAACTACCAATAGACTTCGGCCAGTTGACAGGCTCGTCTGGGAGAACCTGACTTGTACATCGGCTGGCCACTGCAATTCATTGTGGAAGGTAACCCATCGAAGAGACAGAACACAAGACCGTTCTGCCAAAACTCTGTGTCATTGTTACGCTGAACACTTTGTCGACTGAACATCAAAAACACTGTAGGAGTAAGGCACAAACCCAAAATACCCTTATCTTTGGAATGGAAATCAAATACTTCAATAGAAAAGGAATGCTCTTTTCGCTTTTGGGACTTTTTAGAATTCTTGATGTACTTGTACTAGGCATAAATGTAGTAGACAACCCACCGAACATGCCTTGGTAAGAAGCGTTTTTACTGGCCGCAAACCACATTGAGGCTGTGAGTTGCCCAGACCCAATTCGAAGTTCGTATTCCTACCCATGAAGTACACTTCACCAGAATCAAGGAGAACTGTAAAGAAACTAATTATTTTTATGATTCAGTGAAAATGGTCCACCGGTCAAAAAGCTCATCGTGCTAGATAAATAAAGGTCTTCTTATTGAAAGGATAGTTGGGAGTACCTCCAGTGTGGAATTCCCCAAGGTGCACATCGATTACGCGATTTGGAAAAGCTTTGACTATCGTTGGCACAAGTATATTGGAAAATTTATCCTGAAAAAAAGTTTTTTCTAAAAAAGTTGTACAGCTCACAAAATATAACCTCACAATACAAGGGTGAACCTTTCGTTCCCGTGTGAAGAAGCCCTGACGCTGAGCCAAATTCAATTTGTTGTAGTGATTGTTACCCATAGCAAGTAATCTACCATCCTCGGTCAATAAAGCTGAGGCATTTATACCGGCTCGACAACTGGTTACTCGAACGCCTTCAACGACACAACTCTGGAAGCACTCGTTTTATTCGGTACGATTTTGACACCACTATTACTGATTAGCTTACCTTTGTAGGGGTGGTTACCCATTCAGATTTGCCTGTTCCCAGTCGACCATCTTCACCATTTCCCCATACATATATGTCGCCTTCTTCTGTTAACACCATACAGTGCTCCATTCCACATACTAATTCCGAAATATGAACCCTGAATTGGAGTAGTAGTTGTCAGGAGCAGTTCCGAAGAGTCACTTAAATAACTGTGCTCTTCACCCATCACAATAGAGCGAGCACTCGAAGTGATCAGTCAAACATCTGAAGCAACCCATACTTTCAGAGTTTCCAGAAAAAAAGAGGCAAAATCACTTGTAGAAGTGATTTTGAATCTGAAGTTTCGGGACGATAGCTAAGGAGCTTACCGCAATAAATCGTCAAGCAGCGTTGGTCGAGTGACATCCTCATTGCCGCCCAGCCCTACCATACGGGCATCGCCACAAGCAAGAATAGTTCCACGATCGCAACGCACCACACTGAAAGATTTACTCCTGACAAAATTGACCATACAGTAAAAATGGTGGGCTACTATAAAATTAAGTGAATTAGAAGGAAGGGTAAGACGCTGGGCTGGAAAGGGACATACTTTGCCTTCAGGTTGACCCACGGATAGTTATACCTTAGCTTCTACTGGATCCCATGAAATGCCTCAACTTCAATGGTGTCACTTGACCCAAAGAAATTCACGAAAAAGTGAAGGCCGTGTAGATATTCCCTATAGCCCTGACATTACACCAACGGATTATCCCCCTTCCACTCCCTCCATAAGCTTCTTCGAGAAAAAAAAGAAAACATGTGAACTCAACATTTTAGTACCCACATCCAAATTCTCCACTATAGGGTAATGGAGTTCAGTGAAATAGCTGAAAGGACAACTACCCAAGCGTTGAAATACAACAGTGATGGGTATCTTGTTGGATAAGTATGTTTGAGAAAAAAAAAAGTAAAAACGAAAAGTACCCATTGTGGTTCAGAAGGTGTGTATGTACCATTTTAATACTTCAAAACCAACCTGAGAATAGCCGCAGCCTTTAGCTACGTTCCCATGCCGTCAACAGAACACTTACCTAAAGCCTGATCCAACGCCAATAGAGAGGACGTCTCTTCCTCTAAGGGACACGACTTTCTCTGGGGTTGATCTGGAAGTTTTACTAAAGTCATCTACTTTGGAACATCAAGAGCTTCTGGATAACGTACCGTGGAGCAGTGTCGCCGAGGCCCAGTTGCCCATGGGCATTGCTTCCCCATGCAAAAATTTCGTTATCATAGCTGAGAACCATAGCATGTGTACGACTGATTGCCACCTACAACGTTCTATTACTATTTATTAAACCTCATTATTTAAATTAAACTCAATTTTGCTGCACGAATGACCTGTGCCCTTTATTCTGGAAACTGTGTAGTAGTTAAATTTGTAAGCGAGGCTGTATTTCAGTCAAATTCCAATTCCCTTACTTCGTGAGAAACGTCGTTGTGGTTTCTGATTATTTGAATAGTTGTGAAAATTTTCAGAAAAAACATCTTGAAAATCACCTGTTTAATGGCAATCCTCTTGGGGAGACCTTCCACAGGTTGCATAGTTATGGTTCCAGGATCCAAAGAGTACAGGATAGAAGTAGTTGTATGATTTGATGAAGGCGAAATGACTGGCGCAGCAGATACCGGAGGACGAAGCATCTACAACTCGTACGATTACTGCATATTACTCTGTTGATAATCTAATTGAATCCTACTCGCAGTGCTTCAGCAGCCCGTGGACGAGCTTCAGGGTCGTGCTGAAGAAGTTCCCGAATCAACAGCTTGATTTCTGACGAATATGGACCACGGACAGGGGCATATGTACCCTGGAACTCTTATATTTTATAGCATTTGATTTTAATTTTATTTTAAATGTATTTGCAAAAAGTCGATTTGGATCAATTTGGTGAACAGACCGTCATAATTTTATTGACGAGAGCTGGCAAATTTTCGCCTTCGAATGCCTTCTGTAGACACACCATTTCGTAGAGGAT